GATTAAGTTAATTTTCATGGCACAGAGGGACTTTGCAATTGATCCGATCACTCTTCATAACATTCCGGAGTATATGCAAATTGCCATCATACAAACTGAAGCAGCAGACTTTGTGTCATTCTCAAAACTTTTGGCCAGGACTGCATTGACTGCTTCTTAGAAGGAATATTTTTTTAATGAGCCAAATCTACAAATGAGCCTAGATAACATTCCCACAAACATTAATTTTATTGTAAAATTAGTCGCTTAAAATAAAGATGTCTAAGAAAAAAACTGCAAAACATTAGACTGGCCTGGACTGTCAAGCACAGTTCCCATCCTTGATCCTGATTTGTAATGGTAGCTTTAACTGTTATATTGCCATTTATTTTTATACAGGATTTTTTTTTAGTGCCAACAGTTTGCGCAGCGCTTTACAATGTAAGGAAGACATTACAATCACAATACAATATAATTCAAGACAAGATAATAAGAAGGACCCTGCCCGTGAGGTCTTACAACCTAAAGGGATAGCACCTGCCACCAGTTTTACACTTGTCTACAGCTAGCCATAGACATTTGATGTGCTTAAAATATTTGACTGCCAAAGGATCTTTTGACTGAGCTTGTTTATGCTCTGTACAGAGATTCCTTGTGCTGTCTGTCTTGTGATGACAATAGTGAGGAAAGTCCATTTTCACCAATGAATTCATACCCCCTCAAGCACAATAGCTGTAGGATTCATACACAGAAACGATTAACATTTATGATGCAGTGTCCATGTTACAAGAGTCGGATCTCAAAATGTTGTCCCCACGTAGGACACTTTTACTGTACATTCCTCATAAGCACTGCTTTATGGTTGCACATTATGTACACTTACCATGAATTGAATATATATAATACCAATGTAATTACATATTCTGTATTATAATTTTAAGTCCGAATAAAATAATTAACGCTGCAGCAAATGAATATGTAACCTGCAAATTTAGACCTGCCGTGTCTCTACTGAGATTGCTGGAAAAGCCACAAATCTGCTTTTAAACATACTGCATTTTTTCGCATTTTGGTGAAGCTTTTAAAAAGATGGTAAAAATACTGGTGTGTTTCCTCCTCCTCCAATAATGCATTTGTAAAACCTTGCAATACAGCTGCTTAAAAGAAGTTAACACATAAGTAAATGCTTTTTTGATGTTACCGTATTATTTCTGTAGTCAAGAATAGTCTAATTTTAATTTAAGTGGGGTATTGCAATGATATGATCTTGCTGCATGAAAATGTCTTAAGTATTAGTTTAGTTAAAGATGTTGATGTAGTTAGCGAGGGGATTAAGAGGATATTCATACATCTCTCTTGCCTGCTTATGATTTTTATGGCATGGTGCATGCAGCTGCTGTTAATAACCGGAATGTGTTT